GCAATAACTTGGCATTTGAATAATCAAATAAACAAAATTCTAATAGTAAAAAAAACATTTCTTTAAAATCTTCATTTCCACTTGTTTGCTTGTAAGGAAGCTTCATTTCCGGCGTAGATGTGAGACCATAGACCATGTGTGAAGTATCTGCATACATAATTTAAAGCACAAACTAAGTGTAATTAATTTTTAACACAAATAATAATTTAAATGGGTATAACCATAAAATACCTGTACACGATGTGTGGAAGAATAAATGGTGCAGCAAATGATACCGCCAATAACAACGTACAACGTATTACAAAAATATATATATATAAAATAACAACGTACGTATAAAAATAGGAACAAACTAAAGTTCCCGATTCCGGAGTGATAATAGTTTTTCTTTGTTCACCGCTTTCGTGTATCGAATACCCATTTCAAATCCTACATCATCATAACATCATTATCAGTCAATAAATAAATAAATATGTTAAATACCTACTAATATTTACAGTGAAATCTTCAAGTTTTCATCTAATTTCAAACCAAATAGATCAGAAAAAATGATTTATAATCGCATAAAGATTTTACTTAGCAAACAAACACAAATTCCAATAGATAATAAAACAAATTAAATCTTACTACAGATAGTCCACTATTGGGGCTAGATCGTCTTGCTTGCTTACGTGGTTTCACCATAGATTCCTTTTTGTGATCTCATAGTTTCAAAGCAGAAATGAAAACGGACAGTAACAAACAAAATATATATATATATATATATATATATATATGAAACAGTTGGAACTTTCATAGTAAAGGTTAAAACTTTCTTTTTCTTCTTCGTGTGGTAACGATTGTAAAGAGACAAAGGAGTCAACGGAGCTGGAAACCAAAATCGGGGAGGATTAAAGTGGAAGATCAAATCGAAGAAGGAAGCATATGAGTAGTGAGAGAGATGAAGGATCCTTCATACCTACGATTGATTAGTAACCTCATATGATAACTCAAACCTAAATATTTCGATCGGAAGGATGATGAGAGGCAAACATGTAGAATACTCTGCTTAAATAGAAAAATGAGGTGATGCTTCTCTACTTAGGTTAAGCCACTGTCTGCAATATCTTTCTCATTAATTGTCATACATTATCGCAAGGAAAGTAGTTATACAATAGAAAATATGAACATCACTTTACCCTATTCTCTTCTGATTCGGGATATACAATTTAGGAATCTCTCAAACAATTAAGTTAGGCACTTCAAAGTAAGGAATACAGTAATTTACTTGAGGAAGAAGGTTTTCATTGTAATTGTTAATCGGATCATACATAGATTATATAGTATTCGAATATTACATCTAGGAAATAAAGTTGAATTCGTATTTAGATTTTAAGCAATAAGATGCAGCCTTAACTATGACGATTATATATATATGGAAACTGCTTACCAAAATAAAAAATATATATATATAATATATATATATATATGGAAACGAAGAAGTTTGCAGAATCTTAACTTTGGGCCATCCATATTCCTAAATTTGATCCATAATAGAAGACAATATATTAAAAGCCCAGCAACCGGGTTAAATAAAGTAAGTATCCGTCAATGTTTTAAGGATCCGCGTGTTTATCCGTTTTTCGACCCGAATAATAATGTAATTATTTAAATAATTCAAAAATGAGTCCAAAAAACTGTGAGCTTGCCACATCAGCAAAAATGTATGGTCTTTAATATATTGTAGGATTTAGAATCATTGAATGAATGAATAAAGGGGGATTTTGACAAAGATTTTAAAATTACTAATCCAATAAGGAGGGATTTTAGCTTGGATTTTTAAATTCATTAAAATCCATGAACCAATAAACCAAGCAAAGCAAAGGGTAATGACAACACATGGAACCTCTTACATTCGTACAACTGTTCGATTTTTAATGAAAATCTTGATTCTTTTGATACTTATAGTAATCACAGAGCTTTGTATTGTGGATGCATATAGATCATACTGTAGGAATATAACGGTTGGTTATCCGTTTGGGATCAGAAATGGATGTGGGCATCCAGGGTATAGAGATCTCTTGTTTTTTATGAATGATGTGTTGATGTTCACATAAGTTCAGGTTCTTATAGAGTATTGGATATTGATTATTATAATAGGATATATGTGAATATAGCTAGATAAGTTAGACTTATGTCAGGATTGTATATATACTTGTACTTGTTCATTCAATAAACTAAAGCAGTTCTGTGATCTAACTCTACAATTATGCGTATCACTCCATAACGCTGCATGGTCCTCACATGTCCACTTGTGAAACGATTGTGCTTGGTGGCAAAGGCAGTGGCTTTGAAGCTGAGGATTGGACAGCTCCTTATTTCAATCCTACTTCTGATAATGCCTTTATGTTGATTGGATGTTCTCCAAAATCTTCCATTTTTCAAGGTTAGTAACAAAAGATACTACTGTACATTGAATATTACATATTTGGATTCAAATCCACACTACATTTGGTTTAGTCTAGTACATTTAAATCATTTTCAGTTACTCCCTTCTTTTTTTTTTTTTTTGGAACAGCTTTCAACTACTCCCTCTGTTGTACAAATATAAGGGTTTTAGAATTTTTTTTTAAAAATTTATAAGGTGTTTTTTTTCTATGCAAAATTAAATGTGTTTTTTCTGTTGCTTTTGACTCTTCTGCAGATTATTTTTCATTACTTAAAATATTTTGTAATTGATGATAAAACATAATTTATTTTGAAAAAACCTTAAACCCCTTATATGATGAAGAGATAACTACTATGTTTTAACTTTTTAAAAAGGCTAGAGAAATAGTAGTAAACACCTGACCAAAATAATAACAAAACCAAACCGATTTGTTTACCAAACCGATATTTACTACACATTTGCTACTCGGGTTCGGTTTAATATGGTTAAAATTGGTTAATTTACCACTCCTATTTTCTTAGGCTTTCCCAAAAAGAAACTGCCATGCCACACAACATATCTGGAATGAGTTGCGAAGAGTACATGTCGTGTCCAGCATGGGACTTGGTCGGATACAGGAAACCGGGTCTATCATCCGGGTCGGGTCCACCCATGTGTTGTGCGGTCGGATTCGAATCTGTGAAAGCGATCAACTTAAGCAAGTTGGAGTGTGAAGGTTATAGTACTGAGTACAATCTTGCACCGTTGAAGCTAAGAGGACCTTCTGATTGGGCGTATGGGATACGAGTCAAGTACGAGCTACAAGGAAGTGATGTGTTTTGAACCAACCAACATTTTTTTTTTTTAATAAATATTAATCAATTCTAGCGAAGGTCTTAAAAATAAATTAAATAAATAAAATATCAATAACAAATAAATCAGCTCAGCGGAAGCAAATAATAATTAAACAAGTCTAGCAAAATAATGCAAAACAATAAAACAGTAAACATCCTATCATCCCCCTCTTCAGCCTTGATTCCGCGATCACACAAATCTTTTACCTGCAACACATTGGAATGGAGTTGCGTAAGTATTTAATAAATACTTAGTGAGGCAATCACTCTGCCTACGAGCCATTTACGCAATTTACTAGATATTTAATAATATTTATAAACTTCAATAATTATTAAATACCATTTTCCAATTATTAAATAATTTTTAATAATTAAAACTCAATTTCTCAATTATTAAATAATTCTCATAATTAAATAATAATTTTCCATATTTTAAAATAATTAAAATAATACCAATTAATTAAATAAATATTATTTAATTAATTAAATCCGAATTAAATCTATTTAATTCCATTAAACCAATTAAATTCAATTAAACCAATTAAATTCAATTGAACCAAGATAAACCAGAATCAAATCAATTAAATTCAATTAAACCAATAAACCAGATTAAACCACACAAACACACAATTCATCACATGAACAACCAAAATATCATAAAAATAACAATTAAAACATAAACTCATCAAGAACAACCACAAACCAAATCTAATCTAGCAAATCACGGACCCACAGTCATGCACTCACCTTGACAATGATTGAAACTGAAGGAAAAAGGAAGACGATGAACAGTGCCGAATCGCGGATGAACAGTAACCCGTGAACAGTACCGATGAACAGTAACCCGTGAACAGTACCGATGAACAGTCCGATGAACAGTAAAATTCGAAAATCTCTCCAAAAACTCAACTTTTCTCCTCTACAGCATCTGAACTCGAAAATTCTCCAAAGAGAAGACGGCTGCACTCTTTAAACTTGATTTTAGGGCTTTCTCCACTAAACCGACCCAAACCAATTCACTTAAATTGAACCGACAAAATTCCCAATTTTTATTTTTGGTTTATGGATGTTACAACTCTTCCCCACTAAACTGGATTCGTCCTCGAATCCCAACGCAAACGTCACAAAGACCACAAAACCCAACCTCGCAAGGCCGCAACACCGGAGATCCTCACTTGATCCCCGAGACAAACGTCATATCTTATGTCATAAACACGTTCCAAGAAAATTTCACTCCTAACTCATCATCCAAACACACCAAACAACTTGTACTGAGGCCCACTTGCACCCAGACAAGTCCACACCGGTCCGCACTGAGGCCCACTTGCACCCAGACGAACCCGAAAACGTCCATACTGAGGCCCACTTGCACCCAGATGAACTAAACTGCTTATACTGAGGCCTACTTGCACCCATATAAGCTACACTCAACTGAGGCCTACTTGCACCCAGAGAGTCTGCCAGAGAACGAAGTCTCCAAAAACATGATGAGTTATTCAGGATCGCAATCCTTAGAGTAAAAATTCCGGAAAATGTCTATAACCATAAGATTAGACCGTCTCACAACCAAAAACTGGTCAAACATGTGTAACATCCGAATACCTTTTCACAACACAAGGCAAAATGAGGAAAAACTGCATCTCATTAAAACTCCAAAATGTATATCGTTACAACGAAAACGAAAATACAATAACACCAAAGCCAAAAATAACAACTGAGGCTACAAAGATGAAATAAGCTCACTCCTCGACCTGCTTGTCGAACCACTTCCTGAACTTCAACTTCATCTTTGCCTCTGGCTCCCAAGTCTCCTCTGTAGAACCACTGCAATCCCACAAAATCCTCAGTAAGGGAATCCTCTTGTTCCTCAGAACCTTTTCCCTCCTCTCTAAAATCCTCATAGGCACTGCCGGCACTGTCAAATCTGGCTGAAGATCCTCTGGAATCCTAGCCACTAACTCCTCTGTAGGGTGAAGACACTTCCTCAGCATCGACACATGAAAAACCTTGTGAAAGGCTTTCATAATCTCAGGCAACTCCAGCCTGTAAGCCAATGGCCCAACTCGCTCCACTACTGGAAACGGACCCATAAATCGCGGACTCAGCTTGTTCTCTGCTATGGATCTGTTAGGACCCCTCAACATAGCCATCTTGAGATAAACTCTATCTCCAACCTGAAACTCAAGCTCTCGTCTGCGTCTATCTGCATAACTCTTCTGCCTATCCTGAGCCTCCTTCATGTTCAGCCTCACAACACGAACCTTCTCTGTCGTCTCCTGAACATAAGTAGCTCCATACATGCTGCGCTCCCCCACTTGGGTCCAGCATAGGGGTGTCCTACATGGCCTCCCATACAAAGCCTCAAATGGAGCCATGCCAATACTCGCCTGAAAGCTGTTGTTGTATGCAAACTCAACTAAGCTCAGGTGATCTGCCCAATGGCCACCCCAATCCAACACACACATCCTCAGCAAATCCTCCAAAGTCTGAATAGTCCTCTCTGACTGACCATCTGTCTGCGGATGATAAGCTGTACTCAGATGCACCTTAGTGCCCATCTCTGCCTGAAACGCCCTCCAAAACTCTGAAGTGAATCTGGGATCACGGTCTGACACAATACTAGCTGGCACTCCATGCAGCCTCACAATCTCTCGCACAAACTTCCTAGCCAAGACAGCAGCTCCATCTGTCTTCTTGATGGCCAAGAAATGTGCAGACTTAGTCAACCGATCCACAATCACCCAGATAGCATCGAAAGTCCTCGAAACAGGTAGTCCAACCACGAAATCCATCGTAATCCTATCCCACTTCCACTCGGGAATGGGTAAACTCTGCAAAAGACCACCCGGAACCTGATGCTCTGCCTTCACCAAGGCACAAGTGTTGCACTTCGCAACCCAATCTGCTACATCCCTCTTCATCCCGACCCAATGATAGTACCTCTTGAGGTCATGGTACATCTTGGTCGCTCCCGGATGAATGGAAAACTTGCTCGCGTGAGCCTCTCCCAAAATCTGATGTCTCAACTCCACATCCTTAGGCACACAAACTCGCCCACGAACCAAGATAGTCCCATTCGCAGAGACCTCATACTCAGAACCAGTCACTCTCGTCGCATCTAGCAAACTCTGATCACTCTGCTGAGCAACTCTGATCCTGCTAAGTAGATCCGCCTGATCCACCGCCTCTAAACCCAAAGGCTCATGCGAAATGGCACACAAACGCAAGGTACTGATCTCGCCAACTAGAGACTCCACATCTCGCTCAACTGCGGAATC